TACTCTCTCTCTCTCTCTCTCTCTCTCTCTCTCCTCCTCCTCTCTCTCTCTCTCTCTCTCTCTGTGTGTGTGTGTGTGTGTGTGTATGTCCCTTTGTTATTGTTATTATCAGCGAACCAGCTTGCTGAGCTCGTCATCGAGATTTAGCGATGCAGTTGCTCCCGACTGCGTCATCAGGGGCGTCTCACGTTCCGCCGAGGAGGGAATAAGTTCTGCCTGCATAGCCATCAGCAAAAGCCACTCCTTAATGACATGCTTGTCGTCATCTTTCATCGCATTGGTAATAAAAGGGTGCTGCAACAACTCTTCGCAGGTAGGACGACTTTGGGAATCTTTTTGAATGCACGCTGATATAAAGTCAGCCAGTGCCGAGTCCATTGTTGGCGGCAGGACGATAACCGGCCCATCGCTACTAAGATGCTGCAGCAGCACCCAAAAGCCAGCTTCCGTTGAAGAATTGGCACGCGCCAATTTTTCCGTGAACGGGCACCGGCCTAAGGCAAGCTCAGCAACAACGAGCCCAAAGGACCATATGTCTGCCGCGAATGAATAAGACTCCCCTTTTAAGCGCTCAGGGCTCATGTAGGTCAGCGTCCCCACGAAGCTATGTGCGTTGGCACGGGTGCACTCCAAAAAAGAACTCACGCCAAAATCCGATATTTTAATGCGTCCATCCAGACTAAACAAAATATTACTGGGTTTAAGATCACGATGGATGAGGTGCCTGTTCCTGTGAAGGTCCCAGAGACCGCGAAGAATACTGCGCGCGATGCTCGCCAATACCTCGGTTGGCACCGGTTTTCTTACACTGGCCAAGCTGCCGTCCATGCACTCCATCGCGATAAAAACAGAACCCTCGTGACAAAAGGCGCCATAGAATCCCACCAGGTACGGGGAGTTGTTCCCTTCACGGTGAAGTGTCTCCAATTCTCGTCTAATTTCCTGCAGATGTGCCTGGCTAGTGATTTTGATCTCCTTCAAGGCGAGAGCCTCGCCAGTCTTGCGATGTGTCGCCCGGCGCACAGATCCACTGCTGCCTTGACCCAAAAACCCAGTCGCACTCACAACGACGTCATCCGGCGACAAGCCGTACTTGTAGCCCATCGACGTCGTAAGCCCCTCCGCCGAGACCGTAATTTCGCCAAGACGGAGCACCTGGTGGGTCATTTGGGCGGAGTCGTCACTGTCGCTCTCCAGGTCGTCTAGGCTGATCCTCAGCCCGGACATCCTCAGACGCAGGGAGGGAAATCCTCCCCTTCGCTTTCCTTCTACTCGTGTTACTTTGCTAACGTCTTGGCCTCTCGAGGCTCCCACGCTGCCAAGGGATAAATCGCCCCCAACCCGAACGCAACAGCAAAAAAAATATATATATATCTACATTGGGTGACAGAAGACAAAGAAAAGAAGTTACATCTCAACACCCGCTCACACCCAAACCTCCGCGTGATTTGCTTTTTTTGTTCTTGTTTGTGTGTGTGCGTGTGAATGAGTCTGCCGCGCCATTTTCAAACGCTCGCGATATTTCGTCACTGCGCAGCAGTCAAACAAGCAACGACGCACTTATCGACCTCTATGATCGGAGTGGTGGTTGGGGCTCTATGCCCAGTCAGCAACAGCAGCAGCAGCAGCAGCAGCAGCAGCCCTCTTCGCCCTTCGTAGCGGAATCAGAACGACAAACACCTGCCACAGCGACAACTACAGCAAAACAAACCAAAACAAGCATCAGCTGCTAGAGTGATCGTTTGTGTCTATGGTAAACAAGACAACCAATGTACCGTATTGTGTTCCGTCAAGCATCACCGGCAAGCTGCGCACTCCGGGGGAAGCAATGACCTCGGAGGCGTGGATGTTGGCAGACCCCATGGAGTCAAAACCAGCCACGTCCACATCTTGTACCTCAAATCGTATGACCTGTGTCGATTGTACGCGGAGGAGGAACTCAGCCTCTTCTTGCGTCCACACGGGGTTGACTGTATCGCGCTTTTCAGGAACCGTAAAGGCAAGGTCGGGACCCACCCACACAAGGACTCGCGGATCTGTCACGCCCATTGCATTGAACATCGCCTGGTCACAGTCCAAAAGGTCATGACCTTCCTTGACAAATATGCGCAAAGACACCGCGGTTGGTGCCGCCACCTCCTCCGTTTTCTTCGACGTCACTGATGACGCAGTAAACGGAGGGGCAGATGCCTGGTTGGGTACCTCGGCCGTGGCGACTGCTGCGGTTTGTTTCACAGTTGCTTCATGCTTCTCTATATGCGTACTCACAGAACTCACCCCGGCAAGCGCAAATGACACTAATATACTTCCGAGAGCTGTCTTGGGAGACGGCGGAAGCCGTGTATCGGCTGCGTGCGGCTGTGCATCCAACTCCAGCTCCTTCTTTCCCAACCCGCGCAGGAAAAGGTCTCCGACGGAGAGTTGAGCGTAACCCAGTGTCTGCTCCTTACTTCCTAGCTGCCCTTCACACGCCATGACGTAGAAACCAATGACGCCGGAGTCCAATGGGTGCAGCGTCATTGTGGCACACCCATCTTTCTTCATCCACGAGGGATTCAAGGCGCGTGGCACGACGCTGGTGGTATACGCAGCAGAGTTAGGTGCCACCATACGCACAAAGACATCCCCCCCACTTCCTGGCCCATCTAAAAGACCCCGACACCCCTCCACATGGACTTGAACCTTGACAGGTTGGAGCAAGGCATTCCCATCGCTAGTGGCGGCCTCATCGCAAAGAATCCTTGACGACCTTGTCGAGGTCTGCTGTCGATGGAGATGCTCCTCCTGTTTCTCGGTGCATCCCACACTGTCAGACAGTAGTCCTCGTGTACAATGTACCAACAACTTTCCAAGTCGCCCGTGGTGCTCTCGTATGTGCGTAAGTGGCTCATTCTCACGTGGAGCCAGCCTCAGTTCATGCCACTCTTTCCCAGAGGAGAGCTGCCGCCTTGAAAGAAGTGCCTCTCCAAGGAATTCACTCCTGCCATCCCTATCTTGGTCAAAAACACGAAAGATGATGCCTCCATGGCGTCGCAGAGAAGGAAGAGTAACGCTGGCTTGAGGGCAACCTTCCCACGAAGCCTCACTGGTTTCCGGAACGGGCGGGGTGCGCATCAGTTCCTTACCCGTACCGCCGTCGTATACCACCACGTACGGGTGTGAATGCGCCCCCGGTCCGCGTTCAAGAATTCCCTTTGCGGCGGCAACGCGAAGTGTGAAGCCTGTCAGGGGCGCGGCACTCCCACCGGGCTTCGTGGCATCCGCACCGGCGTTGGTCTCCTCTTCTCCGTCGCGCCCAGGAGAAATCAGTGGACTCGCCCGAGAACTTGAAGAGCGGCGCCAACAACTACCGCAAGCTGCACCGCAGCCCACAACCGCTACAGTCACATCAAAGACAATCGCACCCAAATGACGGGCTTGCCGCAGAATCTCATTGTCGGTCTCACGATCTCGCATTTTAAGTTCCGCGGAGTGCCTCCGCACACCGCCCGGCTCAACGTCTTCTAACAACGGCCCTACGGGGACCTTGGCTTGTCCCAAGAAAAGCCGCGCATTATTCGCCCCCCGAGAGTAAACTTCAAGCACAATATGCCACGAGGATCCACGCGCCACCTTCAGTGTGACAATATCATCCAGTGCACTAAACTCCGGGCAGTCCGTGTCTTCTCGCGGAAGTGTCTCAAAGACTCTTTCGCCACTTGGACTATAAACAACTACAAATGGATCAATCGATCCGGCGCCGTTGTTGCACCTGTTAAATAAACCCTCACAGGACACAAGTCTCAGTGTCAGGTTAAACAGTGTAGCTTTACTTGGCTTTTCAGCCGGCATCTGTCGTTCCATCCGCGACATTGTGGCCTCAAGGACCCGAATGTGGCGTCTATATTCCCTTTCCTGCACACTCCACATACGACGTGCCGTGCGGTGTGCGTCCTCCACTTCACGAACTCTATCCATAAGACTTTGGTAATTCATTTTCTCGTCCTTGCTGCAAGATGCGGATTCTGTAGTCAAAACCACCCCGCGCTTTTCAGTAAAAGGGTTGACGGATGAAATAGCACCGGATCCGACCACCTGAGTTGTATCTTCTTGCGTCTTGTTGGGTGCTTGCTGTAGCGCCGTCGCCTGCTGCTCCGCACATTGCTTCTCAGCACGCTCCGCGCGACACTGTGCAGCCGCAAGAAGTTCCTCCAGTCTCTTCACTCGCTCGCGAAAAACATTAAACTCGCGCCAATGACTCACCTTCTCCACAAGCGAAGCTTCCGATGTCATCAACGACTTCGTCTTCTTCTCACGCTGCGCTTTTATCAATCGATGCGGGCCCATTCTCGCCATTCCCATACTCACTGACTTCATGGCTTCTGTCTGATCGCGCAACGTATGCCCTGCCGCCTCCAATTCTCGACGAAGATCATACACAAGCCTTTCAAGTCGAACCCGTTCTTTCAGATGGTCAAGCTCTTTGCATTTTAACCGCTTTGTGTTATCTACATCCGGCTGCACCTCTGCAAAAGACTGCTCGTTGGGGCGAAGCGCGCTTGGCAACTTCGCTGTCGCACTGTCTGCAGTACTGGTGGTAGGGGCCGCCAAGGCCGGTGAAGGAGCCTCATCGGTCGTTGCCTTGCGCGGCTTGGAAGCGCGCAAAACCCGCCTCTCTGAGGTGGTGCCAGTCATAATAAGCTGCGTGATTTCCAGCAAAGTTGCCTCCTTCGCCGCCAGTGCGCGGCGCAGGCGGCAATGTCTATCAAAACGTTCTATCGATGGCGGGCTTACAGTTTCATGTGAGGGTTCCCCCTCAACAGCGGCGCCGTCACGCGCAGTGGCCTCGCCAAGCGCAGCGTCGACGGACGGAGCCGTGGCGCACACGCCGGAAGGCGGCAAAACCGAAGGGGGCGTCGCTGCGCCACTAGCCTCGCCCTTCTGCATTCCTCGCCACCTGCAGTGTGCAGTCACGTCGTGCGGCACTGACCCCCGCCCCCACCCCTTTTCTTTCCTTTCCCTGCGGTCCTCGCAGTTGCGTACTTGGGTCCTGTTCACTGCTGTGCCTCCCGCGTCACCCGGCCGCCAGGGAGGAGACAAAACACTCACGTGAAGGCTGCCGCAGATCAGGCAAGCCGATCGAGAGCGGCATGCACAAGAGAGAGAAAAAAAAAAGAGAGAGAAAAAAGCGAGATTTGCGTGGCAGGCACCCACCAGAAACAGAGAGAGCAGCAGAAGAGGGGGACAGCATGGGCAAACCCGGCCCCGACCCGCGGCATCGTAAAGAGAAGGTGCGTGAAAAACGAGATGGGGACCCAATACATGACGCTTCTTCACAGTGTCCACGCAAACACAGCGAGAAAGAAGGGGGAAAAAAAAAAAAAAAGAGCAGCGAAGCGAATAAAAGCGAAGAGTTTCGCAAGACGACAAAAAGAACCATGATAATAAGGAAAAACCCGCAAGTTTTAGAA